CACAATATAGTCAAACTCGCGAGTTGACTCGTACGAGTCTACGAGTCTGAGGATCGCCGGGACCTTCCCGATCCGGCGCGGCTGCAGAATCGGGCAATCCACTAGAATCGTCCGGATCGGCGATTCAGATCGTAAAAACGCAGGATCGCGTTCAATCGCCGATTGTGAGAAGCCCAGACAACGTCGCTTCAAAATCTTCTTCCAATCTCGTCGGGAATTGCAATTGGAAAGTCGCATCTGTCGCGACTCCCAATTTCGATCGGAAACAGCGTATCCTCTTTTATTTATTCCCAAATTAAATTGGAAACCAGCGTAAATAGCATATCAGCCCAGCCTTATCTTCTATTTTTTGGGAATCCAGACTTCTCCTTCCAATCGACTTCTAAGTTCTAATAGCCTTCTAATTAAAACATTAAACACACACACACACACATATATATATATATAGTAGGATCTTACGATCCGAGTCACGATCTTACGATGTTACGATCTTCATTATGCTTATCGATCCTACGTAGAATCTAGAGTTTGACTACCTTGGCAGAACAACTATTGACAGAGTGTGTATGTCATTTTCATGGTGAGTTACAAGTGAAAACCTGTAGGTCCTATCTGGAGAAATGAGAACGACAAACTACCTTGAATGTGAGCAAGAACTGGTAAGTGTTTTTACAAATAGTGGTTCCATACGCTCGATATATACGGAGTAGTTGAGAAGCCATACAATAAGACCAAAAAAATTTGTTGTAAATGTAAACTGACAGGTGATACCTGAGATTGGAATTCAGTTGCTGCATGATTATGCTGAACAAATTCAGAATTGGGGTTGGATTTGCAACATTCATACTCAGGGATCAAGATCTTTTACCAGGTAAATGAGTATATCCTGGAGCTTTAGTCAACATACTGTTTAGTACAAATATATCCTTTTTACTCCTATTCATACCATTGATTTACTTTTCCATTTGACTTCCATGGTTATTACTTAATACTTCTCTGTTTTGCCTGTAGGAATCTGAATATTATGAATAAGCAGCAAGCAGTTGCCAAACTTCTTGCGGTACACCTGACATTTGTATTCCATTGCCTTTCTGTTACCCGTAAATGTGCCATGGTGTTCATGGCACATTTAAGGGAATTCTGATGGGTGCAATCTGAAATAGACTTGAATTTTTATAAAATACAGATACCCTGTGTTTTGGGGGTTAATTTGTCCGATGTCGATCTTCTAGAATTTCTTCAACAGGTTTGTTCACAATCTCTTGCATTATGTTAGGAATATTTCTTCTTCTTCACACAATATCTCTTTTAGGGGCAATATTGACCATTTCTACACACACACCCTCTTTCCCAAAAAAAAGTTCTCAATTTTTGTGGCTCATGTTCTTGCTCCCTGCATCACTTTCAACCAGACATTTTCACTTTCTTTAACTCTGTGCGGAGTCAACTTAGAATCCTCTTTTTGGGACAGAAAAAATATATTTATCAAAGAGTTTTGTTGATTCTACCACCTTAAAGTGAGCTATCAATCAATGACCTCAGAGATGACGATCTCAATTATTGAAACTACATATCCAAGATTTATAAACTCTTAAATATTGATTCTTTTTCATCTTTTTAATAATTTGTAATAAATTCCTTTTTATATTAAAATATAGTCTTTGGATGAAGTTTTGTTGAAATCTATCGTAAAATAAATTAAAAACATTCCAAATTCATGATTTTTTTATAAAAAAAAAGTCTTGGACTGATAGTTTCAGCCATTCCAGTCCTAAATTGACAGTTTTCATTTATTGGGTGATTGATGGATAATTAATAGAGCTTCATATTTCATCCATCTTTGTTGTGGTATGTAGCTTTCCGATACCGATGGATCATCAACGGTACCACCGTCTGTGCTCAGGGTCCTGAATAATAAAGCTTGCAGGGGTGGGTAATTTATGCTTAATTCCTGAACCAAAGTATGTGTGGGCACATGTGTGCGTATTTGTGAAATAATCTCTCACTAATGCTCATATATGGACTAATGTCAAATGTAGGTGCAATTATGTTTGGAGACACACTACTGCCTTCAGAATGCTCCCTTATTGTTGACGAATTAAAGCAGACTTCATTGTGTTTTCAAGTGAGTAAAAGATTAAAATTATCTCAGGAATTCTTTTTATTATCTCGAGACAAGCTTATGGTAGTTGGATAAAATCACATTTGAAATGATGGAATCCACCATAACCTCGGGAGTCACTCAAATGTCAAAACCCATGGGGATATAAGAGCCTTGTCACACCCTCAGTCTCAAGAATTGATAAAACCTAGGAATTCCCCAACACTATGTTTGGTTCAAGGAATTCAAAAGGAAAAGAAAATAAAATAATATGAAAAACAAGTTTTCTTGTTTGGTTAGACTCCACTTTTATGTTTGGGTTTAACTTGGAAGCTATAAGTGAGAACCATTTTTTTTAACTTTCTAAAAAATTACAAATATTTATAATAGACAGATAAATAAAATGCTTTTGATGCACTGAGTTTGAATCACTTTATTGAGTTGTATACATTTTCTTTTGAAATATTCCATCTATTTTCTCACATTTTTTCTTTCCCCAACATTTTTGTGTCCCAAACGGGCTCTAATTCCCGGGGTTTCCTGAATCCACACATGGTCATCACATTCCATCAATTCAAGTGAGAAAAAGAAGCCACAATCCAAACAAGGGTTACAAATGTTTGATTCCCTAACACTTGCAAATTTGTGTGGCTAGTGTGCTCACGGTCGACCCACCACAGTCCCGCTAGTCGATTTGGATGCTTTGAGTGAGCAGATAGCAAAGATGACATCATGGACCAGCGGCTCATGCGAGTCGTGGCACGGATTACGCCGCCACAAAATCAGTTTAGAAAGGACGGCGAAGCGGTTGAACGGTTGATTATGAAAGCATACACAATGCATATACACCATAGAAAAAGGTACAGAAATCTGTTGATATTTCCCATTGTATAGTAAGAGCAATAGCTGATTGTTGTTGAGCTTTTCAGTACTTTTTCGTGTGAGGGATACAAAAATCTTTTACTCTCCGTTTTTAAATAATTGTCTATTGTGATCGCTTCCATACACTAAAAATGGAACGAATGCGGATATGCATTGTGTCCACATTCATTTGATTTGCTATGGACGTAGAAAATCATAATAGATAGTTCTTTAAGAACAGAGTAATGTGTAGAGTTGTGTAGATAAACCAGGAAGTTTGTGAGCTATTCAAGACAAGTTTGTTTGAGTTCATATCTCTCCCTATGACGTCATTCGTGTTCATTTCTTTTGTCATTGTTTTAGTGAGGTTCTTGCTATTTTATAGATACATAGTTTTTTTAGGGAATTTATATTAGTTTCTTATTGTGTTAATCTTACAATATTTGGAATTAAGACACTATGCTTTTTGCGACGAATCAAATAGTAGCAATTCATTTTTTTATATAAATAATTTAAAGGGGAAAAAATAATAATCCGGAACATGTTTTTAAAAATAGATTACATCTGCAATGCATATTAAAGATTCGTTGGTGTTTTTTCTTGAAAATTGTAAAGCCATTATGGCTAATCATTGTAAAAACACACAAATTTTAGTGTAAGAATATCCGTGATTTTTGTAAACCTTAGAGCATCTTTACCGTTGAGTTGCTTCATTTAAAAAGTTAATTTGGAGCATTCATTCCTTTATTTTAAGAAATTTTTTAAGTGAAGTGTCTGTGTTATAATATAAGGGGTTGTTTGTTTCAGCCTCTTAATGGTTCAGATGTCTGAATGGTTCAGCACTTAATGGTTCAGACTGTTTGTTTCAGTCTCTTAATGGTTCAGATGTCTGAATGGTTAAGACATTTGCCTCTGAATGGTTAAGTATTTTACAGAGTCTGAATGGTTAAGACCTTTTATCTGAATTGATCAAACATTTGCCTCTGAATAGTTAAGCAATATACTAGCTCTTAATGGTTCAGACCTCTTATTGGTTCAGCACTTAATGGTTTAGACTTCTTACTGGTTCAGCACTTACCTATACATAAGTTGCCAAACAGCCCCTAAATATCAATAAAATCATTTTGAATTATATTATTAAAATATTTATTTGAGTAATATCCATAATTGGTCCTTTATGACAGGTGATTTTTGTTATTTAGTCTTCTATTATCAAATACTACCCCGGTAGTCCTTTTATGAGTATCTTTCTACAAATAGTTTTTTTTTATCTTTGTTATATTGGTGTTAATTGAAAGGCTAAAAGTGTAAATTTACAATGACCATATATCATTTTTGTCATACATAATTCTAGAGGTCGTTCTTTATGCGTCATTGGTGAAATGCGATTGTTTTCTACTACAATCATGGTTTAGAGATGTGTTTTTTGTCGGATAATTAGTCCACAGTAATAATCATTATTGTTGTTTTGTCCGTCTAAGGACATAAAATTGATATCAAATTACACTTTTACCTTTCAAATTAACATCAACATAATAGGTCAAAAAAGACTACTTGTGGTAATATAGCGATAAAAGAAAGACCATCGAAACAATATTTGATAATAGAAAATTAAATATGGAAATCGTTTGTTATAAAAGACCAATTATGGAATTTAGTATATTTTTTTATAGAATATCCTCATTCCCAAATTAATTCGTACTCTCCTTTTTTGTTATCCCAAAAAATGTATACACTTCTCTACTTTCCTAATAACGGACATTGAAAATCATGAAAAATCAAATAAAGAGTTATTTTTTGGAGGGAAAGAATATTTGAAAAGTTCTGTGGCTCACATACTCTTCTTTCCATAAATTTCAATAACTTGTCTTTTATAAAAATTATGACCCGTACCTAAAGCAAGTGTGAAAAGCAAATGAAAAGAACCATATGGGAGGGATGGAGTACACAAAGATAGAAAGGGAGTAATAAACAAAGCCAAGTTTTCAAAAATAGGATTCCATTTGGTTTAATGAGGCCAAAGTGTTAAATTGAGTTGCCATCCTAAAACTTGTTCCCACTATATATGATGTGATGCAATTACCTTAAATTTCTAACCTCAAAAAAAAATCTAACCTCAATCATACATGAAAAATCTCTTCATAATTGCATCAAAAGAGTAACCTCTACATAATTCCACCAAAATCTCTTGAATCAATTGTACATTAAGTAAAAGATCTTCACAACTGACCTCCTTCCAAGTAACTATCCGGCCGGTCCTTGAGAGGACCCAAGGGAGGGGGTTCATCCTTTCTTTCTTGAATCAAAGAATCTGCTAGTAGTTAGTAGTTGTAGAGAACAACTCAGCATGGGGATCATGGAGAGAAAAGAGTGAAGTTAGTGTACTGCCTCCTCCTTGCAGTCTCCACATTCAATGGAAGCAGATAACGCCTTCCAAATAGGAACTAACATTTTCACCGGAGGGCGCAACTCCTGTGGATTGAAATCAAAATACAGTAAACAGAAATTTTATACCATGAATACACACGTGGTGGAAAATGCTAAAGCCATCCCAACCTTTTCACAGACATTGGGCATTACACCGCGGGTGTTGGTGGATATATCTGTGAGAAGGTGGGGTGACCATGGCATGGTCCTGCATTTGGTGGGGATAGGCCTTTAATGCCAGCTTGGTATAAGATTTTCTTTGTTCATCACCTATAGGCTTTATATTCCACCAAACACTTGACTCAACTGTGTTAGGTGAGCTGGCCGACAATAGAATACAGTAGAGAGGACACTTTCATTGCAAAATGTATGAAATGGAAATGGCACTTCATTTTTTTGATACAAAGTATTACTATTTTTTGTTTTTAAATAAAACAAATTTAGTATCCTACCCAAATGAT